CTCTTCCAAGGCCAGCCTACATCTCAATGCCAACTGACAATGAAATAATACAGATTCAAAATTACTTTTTCAAGTTAGCCAGATTTCCAGGTGTTGTGGGATGCATAGATGGAACACATATTATCAAGATAAAATCTCCAGGTGTCTAGTTCTTATTGTTCATTAAAAATTTGAAGTTGAGTTGAGCAAGATTTGGCTTCCAGAAATATAAATTTTGTTAGTTAGAAATACTAGAAATAGAATTCTTTCTGTGAAAAAAAAAAATTGAATAGGTAGGTACCTCTGAAATTTGAGAGTTTGTTTTTAGGTAGAATAGATGCAGAAATCTACAGAAACCGAAAGGGCTATTTCTCCTTCAATGCCCAAGTCATTTGTTATAGGAAATTGAAAATAAGGGACATCGTTGTGAGAAGGCCTGGGGTGCGATTTTCGAAACCATTCGAGTACATTTCGTACACGAAATTTGACTGACAGCAATGTAAATTAAATGGGGAGCAGTCAAATTTCGTATACGAAATGTACTCGAATGGTTTCGAAAATCGCACCCCTGGATAACTACACGATCCTCAATCATAGTCGAATTAGAGCACGTATTAAAGCAGGCCAATTTTCCAATAGCGTATACCTACTTCCAGGCAAGTTGTTACGTTAAAATTTTGCCTTAACGTAACTGAAGATTTCGAATGAATTCAGTAATTAATTCAGGTATTTGTGTGGGTATTTATAAAACTGTATACCTGAGGATTAATGTTTTTCAGTGATTGATAGGTTGCTCATTGAATTTTGCTAGATTTTTACCTTTTTGTTTGGATGCGAAACAATATCTAGTTGTTGAACAAGGGTATATTTTTCGAGGTAATAATGAGTAAATTATTTGTATTCAGATGACAGGGTTGTTTTAGGATAATAAAGCCCTACTGTTAGGATAGGAATCCACTTTATTTAGCTTTCGAAAGTTTTCTAAAAAGCCCTAAATGTCGGTGAAAAGGTTTGTTTACTTTCAAATAAATATCGATTGTCAACACTTACGAATCTCGTATTTTCCATTATTAAAAATTCTGCAACAACACAAATCACTTAAGCACACTTTAAATCGATTTTCCACCCTTATTTCCTTTATTTTTCGCATTTTCTAAATGTTTATTTACTCAAAATATAGTGGGGTTATAAGCTACTTGTGGATTCGTTTCTGGCAGCACTGTTGCCGACGTTTCTTGACCGCTGTGGGTAATAGGGTCACTGTAATTGTAATCCCTAAACAATCACTGGTCGTTTTGATAGATTTTAGACTGAAGACTGGGTAGATGCTGATTAATAACTTCTATAAGCAATTAATTAGTGTTGATTGGTGTTAGGGGAGAAAATTTGATAACAACGTTGAGTTTTGTTGGTCATCATTGTGGTCTGGAGTGTTCCATTTCAAGCTGGTGTTCCGTTTTCCTGGTCAAGGCCGAAAATCTGGCACCATAGGACATCTTAAAGAAAAAACTGGAATTCTAGAAAATTTTTCATATTGAGCCTACCTAATAAATCACTGAAAAGGGATCGTTCTCTTTCGAATTCGCACGTTGAGCAAACAACAAGTTTTTTGGCAGATTTTACCAGCGGTCCTCTTGGCTAAGTTCCTAGGAACATCCACCTTTTTGTGGGATTTTGAAGGCGCTGGGATTTCAAGTGATTGCTGGCTTAAATTGGTTTTGGGGTGAAAGCTTTGGATTTGGTCGTACCCGTATTTGTAAGTCAACCACACAGAATTTTCTGGAAACGAAGTCTACGCCATTTTGTTGGTTTGTCGTGTGAAGCACTAGAGCACGTTTATTCAACTAGCCCAAATTGTAACCAGGTAATTTTAAACGTTTTTATCATTCTCAAATTTACCTTTTCGTTATCAATATTTAGATTAACTTATCTGTATTTTTGTAAATATTTGGGATTCAATAAAAAAGGGAATTTGACCTCCACGAGGCCATGTTCAATAAAAAAACTCGTTAATCGTTTTCCAAAAGGGGCATTAATGGGCTTATTAATTAAGGGTGTTTTTGTTTAAGATAACCTACATGTTTCAGGGGTTTTTGCTTATGTAATTCCAATCATTTACGTACCATTTGAGGGTTCATTTCATAGGTATGAAGGAGTTCTAAGAATTTGTGCTCTTTCAGGGTTTTTTAGGCTTTTTAGCGAGGGTTTTAGTCTGGATTTTACCTTCACCATTGGGTTTTCCTCTTTGACGATTTACTAGTCTCGAAGTTGAGGTGTCAAGAGTACCCACATCACTGAATCGAAACCGTAATGCACATTTTTAACTAAGGAAGTCAATAGAAGTTGATGGGGTCTATTATCAGGGCTGTGAGGCTGTCATGAGACAGTGATGGAAATTTAAAATGGATGGGTGTATAGTGCCAATGATTTTTAATATACTATATTTAAGGTGACATTTTGTACAAACCCGCCTCGGTATACCATGGTATAAGCGTGCACAGGTTTTAATTAATATTATTAACATCTTAATAATTATTTGTTCTCTTTTACCCTCATTGAACTAAGGTAGTCAAACATTTATTTATTGGTAAGTTTTGAATATATTGGAGTGTCTTATTTGAGGCCAATACAAATTGGTCCTTGCTACCTTTTTGGTAATTTTGACATTTACTATTAATAATAATATACAGGGTGTATATTTTAAGTGATACCACTATGGCTATATCCAAAACGGTAAGAGCTACAAGGTAGATTAAATTAGAAAAAAGTTGCCTTTTTTGATGCTCATTCAAGACTTGTTTCCAGTGTTGCCAAAGTCCTTTTAGTTTATTAAATACAGGGCGATTTATAAAAAAGGCCTAAAATTATTTCGTCAATTATTTTGAAAACTATTGATATTCGGGACACAATTTAAATTTGAAAGTTTTATAATTTTTTTCGCTCTACAACATGCCATCTTGAAATTTTAAATCCGACGTTTCGTAATCGAGATACCATCATCAACTTCATTTTTTTAAATACGGACCTAGATTTTTTGTGTCATTTTTGGAAAGAGAATTAAGGGCGCTTCCTAAAAATGACATAAAAAATCCAGGTCCGTATTTAAAAAAATGAAGTTGATGATGGTATTTCGATCACGAAACGTTGGATTTATAATTTGAAGATGCCATGTTGTAGAGCGAAAAAAATTATAAAACTTTTAAATTTAAATTGTGTCTCAAAAATCAATAGTTTTCAAAATAAATGATGAAATATTTTTGGACGTTTCTTAGAAATCACCCTGTATTTCATAAAATAAAAGAAATTTGGCAACACTGTAAACGAGTCTTAAATGGGCATCAAACAAGGCAACTTTTTTCTAATTTAACCGACCCTGTAGCTCTTACCGTTTCGGATATAGCAATAGTGGTATCACTTAAAATATACACCCTGTATATTGTGGTATTTTACATATTGCCTCCTATTGGCCTTTTGGAATGTCTCTACAGTTTTGAACATATACCCCCCATTTTATTAAATAGATTTTTAATTATTGTTTTTAGATTGGACTCTTATTTTTATCCCTACTGACCTCAACCAAACTAAGGTAAAGTTGTTTTAAAGGATAGGTACATTGGGTAGGTACATTTTTATAGGAATTTTGGAGATCAGGGACTTTCTGGTTTAAGTCCGCGGATTGTATTTTGTAAACCAGTGGCGCCCTATTAAGCTAATTTTAAATATTGAACCTACTCCCACACCTCTGAGTAGCCGCGACCACTTTGTTGCGCTGGCCGCATTCCTTAAGGGTGTCTATTGTGGTTTATTAATTCAGATTTAGTATTCAAGCAGTTTAAGGATAATTTTATGCGCAACAAAGTTCAAATAAAATATTGTTTATTGTAATTTTAATTTACTTATTTTTATAGCCGAGAGTGGATATGCTGACAGACCATATCTCATGACTCCTTTGGAAAATCCCAATAATAGAGCTGAGCAATTATATAATGAATCCCAAGTTCGGACTCGCAACTGCGTTGAGAGGAATATTGGAGTTTGGAATATGAGGTTTTTATCATGTGTTTTGTGTTTATCATTGCTATATGGATTGAGATGTAAGCTTGAAACGTGCATCTCAGTTATTGTGGCCACAGCGGTTCTGCACAATATAGCTAGAGATATGAATGAAGATTTGCCTCCTGCTTTGGAAAACAATAATGAAGAAGACCTAAGATATCTAAAGCTGTGATATCTAGTTGAAATGGGAAATATCCTCCATAACCCGCTTAATGAAAATGATCCCATCCCAATGAACAACCATAGACGAAACCTTATTAATCAATATTTTGCACATCTTTAATTTTCTTTTGTAATAGGAATTAATTGATCTGACTTTACTCGAAACGAGACCTAAATAAAGAATTAAATAGTTTTATTTTAAGGTTTTTTTTTTCAATAACACATAAAAACTACAGAAAAACTTGTTTATTTGTTATTTCATAAGGTCTTTTTACACAGAAATCAGTCGAGAGTTTTTTGGTTCAAACCAAGTTCAAACTAGTTTTCTGACTGTTCAACCAATGAAATTCGCTTTGACTAATTTGTGATTGCTGTGTGAACAGACCTATTACCACCTTTACAATCTAGTTCACAAAGCAGTGCCTAAATTTCGTAATAATGTTTTCTTGTATTGAATTTCATAACTTAATAATTATTCTAACTTCAATTTTTGCTCTTCTTTTTGAAACTTTGCGTTTTCTTCATGTTGTTCTAATTGTTTTTCTAGTAGAGTTAATCTTCTATCCAAGAGCAAATTGTATTTTTCAGATATATCTGAAGTGGTCAATGCTCTATTGATCATTGGTCTTCTCCTATTTGTTGATTGTGAGTGAGCATTGATAAATAATTATGTTGCCATCACCATCAATGCTCTTGTGAACTTTAGTATAACTTACTACTTGTAGTCTCAGTCTCTATGTAGAAAAGAGTACTGTATAAACTTAAGAATATCATCTTTGAATTTATTTTTGTTTTTTTCATACTTATTTAACATTTCCTATTTTTTGCACATCTGTCTGTACCAGGCTCAAATTTTCCTTTTGATTATGTTCAGTTTCATCTTCATCTCGATCTTCTTCTCCAGTATTAGGTACAAATTCAAAACCATAGTCTCCACTTTGGGCACTTTGCATGTTAATAGGCATTTCTTCATCCTCATCATCACAATCAAAACCACTTTGAATGCCTGTGAGACAGTTCTCATTAAGTATTGACATTAGAATTTTATCTAGATCATCAATTACGATTAGAGGCATAGTGCCTCCACCAGTTAGATGACGTTGCTTTTTTTCCTCTCCTAACTTCTTCCATAACCTATTTTTTTTTATAGAGCCGTCTCAAAGAATCAGCATTTCTAAAACACACCATCGGGCCACTAGCATTGAACCTTTCCTCTATTTCTTTCGAAACTTCTTTCTTTTCGTCCAGAGAAGTTCGATTTGTCTTTTTGTCTTTTAATATTTTCCCATATTTTTGGGAAATTAGATTTATCAGGTACACTTTCTCAGCTTGTGTGAAATTTGGGACCCTTTTTTTGCTTTCTGCCATTTTCACTTAAAACACCAATTCCAAGCAAAAAAAAAAAAACAAACAACAAACAACTACAATGCCAATCTCAAGGCTCAAGCCAATTAGGCAATTTAATCAATCTGTCAAAAAGGAAAATTCAATATGGCGTGGCGGTCAAGCAAGCTTGTTTTGAATATGTTTTTATGTGTATTTTAAATTATTTTGCTTAGAGTTTTGCTTGTAACTTTGATTTTGATTATTTAATACGATATTTGTTGACTAGGTACCTATACTATTAAATCGGGCAGAAACTAGATATTTTTTTGTGTTTTTTGGCCCATGTGTGGCCGCCACGCCATCTTGAGTGTCACGTGGTTTGAATTGCCTAATAACATTTTTAACAATTTAGGTTATGTTCTCAGTTCTTATTTCTTATTTTAATGTTTTGCGGCGTTGCTAATTTGACAAATAGGATTTACTAATCCATATTTTCAATCCGACGGTGCATGTTAAAGGGTCATCGATTAGTGAATCCGGTTTTGATAATCGTAGAAACGGTGCATATGGCTGTTATTTACTTGATCTGTATCAAATTTAAGTTCTGTATCTATATGTATAGATTCCGAGGAATTTAGCAGTGTCCGTGTTCTCTAAAATATTTTCATTTAATGAGATATTTTCCAAGTTGCACTTAAAGATTAAAATGCTTTCAAGAAGTTGAACACAAAACAATAGGCTCGTACAGCATATTTTTTTATTACATATTCTAAAAAAACGTGTTGAGTTTAGCAGTTATGGAAAATTTCATAATTTTCTGAGCCCTTGTTCATATTTAAATAAATTATAAATGTACTTCAAATTTGAAACACGCGGTGACGTCACTGCATATCTTGTCGGTCGTCGTGGTGCTGGTACGTCAGTCACTTCGACAATACGGGCATTGTTTTGACAAATTTTGGTTTGACATCGTTTAGACAAATTTCAGTTTGGCATTTTATGTGTCGTATAATATTTGAATAATTCCCTGAATTTCGATATTTTATAAGCACAATTAATTATGGATGTAGCATGCGAAAAAAAAATATTAAAATATTGCATAGTTCCGCAAACTGTGTGCCAAACTGTCAATAGAAAATCAGTTGACATTGCGTTATGCAAAACCGTGTATGACGGCCTTTAGCCTGTCTCGAGTCGAGAGATGCTATGACGTCACAGTAATGAATTTCCGAGGCATAACTGTTTTAATATTAAAAAACGCGTAACTTTTCTAATATTTATCCAATTGAGCTGAAATTTTTTTTATAAATAAATAAATAAATGTATATTTACGGACTGGCCATTTACAGAGATACTTAAGGACTAATACATGAGCATTTGTTTCCTTAACCTATACTTGAAAGTTAATAAACTAGGAACAAAAAAATCAAAATTGTTGTTTAGATCACAGAGAGTATTTGCGCTTCTACACATTCTTTGGATTGGCCTATTCATAGCATAATTGGTAGCATGAAAAACTATATAAAATAGATCTTGAGACCTCGTGTATCTTAGAGGAACAAGAAAATTAATTCTACCAAGCAAATCTGGTGTTTTCAATTGCCCAGTAACAATTTTATACAAGATACTTAAGTCTAAATAAATTCTCCTATTTTCCAAAGATGGCAACCGCAACAAAGTCAAGATGTCTGCATAGTTTATCTCATCTGATGGAATACCTAGCTTGTATGCAATAAACCTAAGGAACTTTTTTTGAACTTTCTCAATTTGCTCTTTATAACATAAATAGTGAGGTGACCAAACACTTCAACCATATTCTAGTGATGATCTGATAACAGAACAATAAAGAGACTTGAAACAGTTTACATCATCAAAATCTGAAAGACTTCTTTTTATAAAACCTAGCAGTTTTAGAGACTTATTGGTTACAAATTCAATGTGTTCTCTAAAGCACAACGTAGGGTCGAAAATTATGCCTAGATCTTTTATTGAAGTTACATTTTCCAAATCTTCAGAATCTAACCTATAGTTGAATATTATAGGATTTTTATTTCTATAATACCTCATTGTCTTACATTTATTTATATTCAATGAAAGGCCATTTACATTACACCATATATACAGCCTGTTAAGATCATTCTGAAGCAGATAGCAGTCATCGACATTAGATATAGTTTTGCATACCTTCAAGTCATCTGCATACAATAAAAATTTACTATCCTCAAAACAATTACTTATATCATTAACAAAACAGTTAAACAATACTGGTGATAGGTGTCCACCTTGTGGAACACCCGGTGTTACTGCAAGTCTAGCTGATAAATATTGATTAATTTTGACTCTTTGTGTGCGCTCTGAAAGAAAACTCCCTAACCATAATAACAGTGACCCATGTACTCCCATATTCGACATTTTTGACAGTAAGACTGAGTGATTAACTCTGTCGAACGCCTTCGAGAAATCGGTGTATATAACATCAACCTGACACCGTTCCTCCAAGGCGTCCAACAGTAGTTCTTCAAACTCCAAGAGATTGCTGGTGGTAGATTTACCTGGAACAAATCCATGCTGTTCACTAATTAGTAAATTATTTAGTGAGTAACAAATCTTGGAGCTTACAATCTGTTCGAAGATTTTAGCGAAAATAGAAATTTTTGCTATTGGTCTATAGTTTTCAATACTATTTCGTTTTCCAGACTTGAATATCGGAGCAACATAGCTTTCCTTCCATTTTACTGGAAATACTCCCTTGTTTAGTGACATACTAAATACTTTCTGCAATATTGGGGACAAAACAAATCTACAATTATAAACAAAAGATGCTGAAATATCATCAGGTCCACAGCCCAATTGTAAATCTAAATTACTGATACAATCCATAACATCCATTACCGTAATATTACAATTATTAATAGTTACAGATTTGCCACTTACAGAGTCATTTACAGTATCCTCAGAGTAGACTGAAGCAAAAAAATCGGCAAATAGATCAGCCATGTTCTGAGGGTTATCAGAAACTATATTATTATAGGTCATAGTATTTGGCAAGTCAAAATTTTTTCTTTTATTATTCACATAGTTCCAGAATTGCTTTTTATTTCTAACGGACTCTTGAAGAGAGTCGATATATTTCTTATGACATACAATAAATAAGTCTTTACATTCTTTACGCAAACTTGAAAAGGTGTTGTAATCATCCAGAGATTGTGAGGCCTTATATTTCTTATGAATTCATTTCTTTTGAAGAATTTTTACTTTTAGAATATCAGGGTACCATTTTGGGAATTTTGCATTTTTACATCCATGATACGAAACAAAAGCCTTTATACAGTAGTTCAGTTTATTATAGAATAACTCAACAGTCGAGTCAATTTCGTCACTTGTAAAAATTTGATTCCAATCAAAATTACCTAGGCAGTCATTGATAGAAATATAATTAGCATTTCTCAAATCGTAATAGGAATAATCGAAATCCAGAGGCTCAAGGGGACTATCAAGTTTGACATTGAATGTAAGAGCCGGATGATAGTTGTCACATCTTAGGAGTGGAAAGTCTGATGTCAATATTGACAGTGACCATATCGTCCGCAAATATCAAGTCCAAAAAACCACCTCTACCATTAGCAATTGAGTTAGTTTGAAATAAATTACGATATGCAGAAAAATTTGCAATGCACTCAACTTTGTCACTTATGTCGCCAATCGGTCTTGATCCATATTCATCATTCTCCCATAGAATGTCGGGAAGATTATAGTCTCCACACAAGCAGACTCTGGAAAAGGAGTTTGAATCCATGATATGGTCTAATGATCTAACATAGTCCTCATACAAGTGTAATGGGGATCTTGGAGGCAGGTAAACACACCCAAAGAGGCTTTTTTCCTTTCCCAAAACCACCTGTACACAGACACTTTCAATATTGTCGCATACTGAATCAATAATTGTTGATGATATACTCTTTTTCACTGCAATTAGTACGCCTCCTAGTCTGACAAAGGTGCTTGTGGAGGCTGATCGGTCTGTACGATAAATGATGTAATCAGACATACCTAGTTCATTATCATGTATGTCAAAATGCAATGATGTTTCAGTGAACAAGATTATATCATATTGACTGATAGCTATCGAAGAGGAGAGATCGCTTAGCTTTGTTCGTAATCCTCTTACATTCTGATAATAAACTGTAAGGTTTGAGCTTGGCTTACCACTTAATTGACGTCGTTCTGAGAAAAATTCTTACTACTGCTTGATTCTGTAAACTGAGCCCCATTATTATTCGTCAACGAATTTCTTTTAAAATTGAATCGCCTAAAAATTACACCTGCAGGCCAGAAGTCACATGAGTTCATGGTATTATAATGGGTGGGTATGATGCCTACCTTGAATGAGTTGGTACTGCCTATAGTTTTCAATTGTTCGATAACCAGATCATTATCTGTAGCAATAGATAGCCTTCGTGAAATATATGACCGTATTTTTGCAGTGTCTACATTTTGTCCTGCCTTACCAATATAGAACCACATTTTACTTCCGGGCGCTGCACAAAAGTCTTCATTATTAGTTTTGGCTGATCCTCGAAGGACTATATTTCTGGGTCGATTTCGCTGGTAAGTCACTGTTGTGAAATCACCTGAACTCGATTGGAGATTTCCGATAGTATCTGTGATCGCCGATTCAAC